AAGAGACTGCAAAATAGTATAGGAAAACATAAAAAAGAATTTAGAGGGGAAGGGGAGTTCAAAGATAAATAGGCTTCAAGATAAAACTGTATAGTTTCTATCTCAACATATGAGTAAGGGAATAATTAAGTCAACCATTAAGTTAGCTTGCTTATAAGTTGTCAGGCCTCAAAACTTTTTAGTATAAGACCTTTGCTTAGCACAATTCATTCAAATAATATCAACAAGAACAAGATAGACAGTCTTAGAGTAGACTTAGTACTAAATTTTAAGTATACAGAGAGGCTGGAAGCCAAGAACCTATCTCTAGCAAGATAAGACAACAATGGAAGAATCATTCTCGAAATCGTCACTGAGATCAATAACAGCAAGTCAAACACTTGTATTCAGAGAGTAAAAACAGATATTGTACATTAAGCATCAAAATAGGAGGTTAAGACATAACTGGATCCCAAAATGAACTTCAAAAGATAGACTACACTTACTGAATCCTTAAGCTTTTAAGGGGAAAAAATAAACGATGCGCATCAAAGCTAAAACTTAATTCAAAGTGTCAGGAATAATAAGAAAAAACAGCAGAGTATCAGCCGCCAAACTCTCTAATAAGGCAACTGTTTATAACAACAAGGACTCCATTTTAATATATAGGTTTCCTTTTTGACAAACAAGATGAGCGCCTCTACATAATAACAAACAGTAAACAAGGATCAAAGATTACAATTAGAGTAAATATGACATGACTGACAATCAACCTATGGATCAAATTGCACCAAGACCTGTTTAAAACCATAGCAGAAAACTCTAAAAAATAAAATAAAGTATTCCCACACTGTTTGGGTTTGGGATCAACACAATTCTAAGCAACCCAACAAACTTTGTCTTACCATGGCAGCAACAGAGGGAAAAGCAAACCAACAAAGTTTGTCTTACAAAAGAACTAAGCGAAAGTATGACTAAAACCATCACTAAAGGGAGGGTTTCGATAAGGGTTTCAATGCTAAGCGCACACTGAAGAAAAGCATTAAATAACCAATATGAAATTAATTTTGGGTTATTATTTCCTTAAAAGTCACAAAGGTGCCCAAAAGCATTACAAACACAAGAAACATAGAAGATACCCTTGTCTTAGACTTCTTTGCTTTTCACCCTCCCTTGTAGCTTCCAATTCCTCTCATCCAAATAACTTGTTTTCCAATGAATAACTCTTTCTCTCTCTAAATACTCAACCAATCCCTATGTTCCATCAGCTACATCTATGGCTTGGCCTTCCATACACGTCAATCCAATTTGTTCACATGAACATGGAATTAAACATAACATAAAATTCACAATTTTAACCAATAAATTGAAGTACAAAAAGAAGTGTTGGGAAACCTTTTTCCTTTTTAACACCTGACATATATTCCCACCATCAAGAGCAAACATAGAAATTTAATTGTCACACTTCATTTCAATAACATAGAACAATAAAAATGTTATATAAATAAATGAATATCAAGCCATAGAAATTAGACTGTAAAAATATTAGAGTGAAAGCGTACAATTCATTTTATATATGGTCTCAAGTCACAAAAAAAATTCTCCCTTCAATTTTTCCCTATGTTTTGCTATCTTGTCTTCATTTCTTTCTAATAGCTCTTGAACATAAGTGTCTCAAAACAAATTATGCTCAAACTACCCAAACATTCATCATTCAACATTCAATTGGAGGGCACATTAAGGGGGTGTTTGGTATAGGTTTTTTAAAGGGGTGGAAACGGAATCATGTTAGTGTTTCCGTTACATTGTGTTTGGTTACGGACTAAAGTAACACAAATCGTTAGTAAGTGGTAACCATTTCCACCCAATTGTTTCCGCCGTAATGAGTGAGGAAACAGATTCTCTTTCCTTCCTTTAACACAAAAAATACAGAAAACTCTTCTCCCTCCTCTTCGCTCGCTCGATTTTCTACTGCAAATCTCTAGATCTTGCTAGACGATTCTACAAGGAAAGCTCCAATTCTCCAGATCTTGCTCCTAAATTTTCAATTTTCTACTGCAAATATCAGGTTTGCTATCTTCATTTCTCTCGTTCAATTTCTAGGGTTCATGCAATATCAATTTTGCCGTTTCTGGTTTGAATTATTTACTTGCTTGTTCGATTGAATTTTTTTTTTATCTTTTGTTGATTTTCTGCTGAATTTGATAGTATATAATTATATATTGCTATTATTGCTATAATTGTTGATTATTGCTATACTCGCTCGACAATATACATGACTCTGATTTAGATATAATTACAATGTTGTATTTGCTAATCTGCGTGATTGGTGGAGCATTCTTTGTTGATTAACTAGATATTGATATAATTACTATGTTTTATTTGCTAATCTGCGTGATTGGTGGAACATTCTTTGTTGATTGCTGTTGTTTTGCTGTTTATCGGGTTCAAGGGTTGGAGGTGAACTTATGAGAGGTGGATGGGGTTTCTGGTGGTGAGGATCGGTGGTTTTTTGATTGGGTAAGTGAATGTCATGGTGATGGTGGTTTTTGGGTGAGTTTTGAAGTTAAAGATGGTAGTATATTTTACCTGGAACGCCTGGAAACGTATCAGTATCAAGTGAGTAATTCGACAATGGGATGACGAATGATTTCATCCGATTTGTGCAGTATTTGGATATTCATAATAGCTGTCAATTTTTTTTTGTTTTTTTTTTTATTTTTGTTTTTCGGAAAGAGTCAAATGCAGTAGTTTTTCTACTATTAAATCTCCAATTTTATTGAACTTTCATTTAAACATCATACCATCAAGCCATCCACTTGATTAATAATGTATAATTCGTATGTATGAACTAAATGATATTGGTTATGACTTTTTTTTCCTTTATTATATGGGGGACAGGGGTTGGCTTGAGTAGATTAATTTATAAATTCTTAAACGAATGTCTAATTGGTATTGATTGCTGTTAACACACCAAATTATTTCTATCTAATTGATAGAGGATATTGCGTGCTTATTATATATATTCAACCTCTTATATGTTGTAATTGCGTGCTTATTATATAATAAATAAAATCATTTTCTAGTTTTCTATCGCAGACGATTACCTCATGTATGTTATTGCTCCATCCGGCCAAAAATCAGATTATGTTGATCGATGATGTATTTGTTTCTTGTATTTTAATGGTTTTTGATGGGTAATATATTGATACTATTGTATATTTTTTGGACTAGTTTTTCAAGATTTCTACAATGCCCCGACTTATGCGTTCCTCAAGGAAGAAAAAGCTAAAACAAATACAACTAGTTATTTCAATGGTTATTATTATTTTGATGATGTATTGGATGTGGCATATGATGTGTGTTGTTACAATAAAGGGTGTTCAATTGAAAGAAAGAAAAAGAAACAAAAAGTTGCTACGAATGTTAGTTTTGAGAGGGCTTTATAAAGAGAGTGATGTGAAATGCAAGAGTGAGCTTCGCGTTAATAGAAGAACTTTCAATATTATTTGTGAGATGCTTAGAGACATTGGTGGTTTGAGTGGAACAAAAAACATGTCACTTCAAGAGATCGTAGCCATGTTTTTATACACGTTGGCTCACCACAAGAAGAATAGGTCTATTGGACAATATTTCTTTAGAAGTGGAGAAACCGTGAGCCGACAATTTCACCTTTGTCTAAGGGCACTTCTCAAATTACACGAAGTATTACTTTACAATCCCACACCAATATTAGATGATTGTGAAGATGAAAGGTGGAAATTTTTCAAGGTATTGGTCTTTTTTAAGCCCCTAAGTTTTTCTAGGATTTTCTTATTTTTGATTGTATGTAAGTAATATTTTTTCTTATTTTTGTAGAATTGTTTAGGGGCATTAGATGGGACTTACATTAATGTAAATGTGCCTTCACAAGAACGACCAAAATATAGAACAAGAAAAGGAACAATTGCTATGAATGTATTGGGTGTTTGTGCACCCAATTTGCAATTTATTTATGTTCTTCCTGGTTGGGAAGGTTCGGCCCATGATATGCGTGTACTTCGCAATGCTCTCTCTAGACCAAACGGTTTTAGGGTACCTCGAGGTAAGTGAAGCTCATTCTTTTGTGAGTGTATAAGTTTTGTTAGTTTTGGTAGGTAGTAATCCTTTCCTTTAATAACTTTGAAGGTAATTATTATTTGGTTGATGCGGGATATACGAATTGTGAGGGTTTTCTTGCTCCATATAGAGGTCAAAGATACCATTTAAAAGAATGGACGGATCGACAACCCGAAAGTGCCGAGGAGTTCTATAACATGAAACATGCTAGGGCGCGAAATGTGATTGAGAGATGTTTTGGCCTACTTAAAGGAAGATGGAGTATTCTTAGAAGTCCTTCATTTTTCCCTATAAGAACTCATGGACGTATCGTGATGGCTTGTTGCTTATTGCATAATCTAATTAGAAAATTCATGCCTACGGATGATATAAACGAAGATGAATTGAATGAATCCGATGATGATTCCGAAAGTGATTCCGATGATGAAAGGGAATTTATTACAAGTGTTGCTACTTCGGATCATTGGACCAATTTTAGAAACAAATTAGCCGAAGATATGTTTAATGATTGGAGGGCAAGAGGTAGACATGGTCAATAGCAAAAAATGTATGATTTTTTTTACCTTCGATTATATTATAGACATGGTCATCTGCCTTCTGTTCTTTTTATTTCTAATTTGCCTACTGTTATTTCTAATCTGCCTTATGTTATTTCTAATTTGTTTAGGATGGAGGCTAGCAATCGAGGAAGAGGTAAAAATAAAAGGTATTGGACGTATGAAGAAGATGCGGTTCTAATAAGATATTTGCATGAGTTGAGTTGCGATCCGAAGTGGAAGTGTGATAATGGGTTTAAGAATGGTTACATGAATAAGTTGGAAGAGATGATCAATGGTGTACTTCCTAATTGTGGCTTGAGAGCAGTTCCCCACATTGAGTCGAGGATCAAGCATTGGTCGGAGAAATATCGTGCATTTGCAGAAATGTTATCCACCTCGGGATTTGGATGGGATGCTGAGAAGAAATTGTTGCAAGTAGACAAGGTCGTGTACGATGAATGGGTGAAGGTATGAACTGCTATTTCATTCTTCTTTGTTCATTTTTTTCAATTACACTTTAGAATTGCTGCTCTGCTGGACAGTTGTGTGTAAAGGTATGAATGGGTGAAGGTATGAATTGCTGCTGGACAGGGAGAGAAGCAGTGTGTGTAATGGAAGGGGGCAGGGAGGGGAATAGGTGATAGGGGAAAGGGGTAGGTGTTGGACAGTTTATATATGAATTATGTACTGCTACAAATGCTCATTTTGCTTTAAATCTATACCTGGTTTCTTTGTGTTGCCATGTATGAAGCATGGCTGGTCTTTTGTGCAGGTTTTTACGAGGTTAAAAATTAGATATATGTCTGTTTTAGGGGAAGTGTTGTCAAATTTTCTGCAGATTATTCATGGATTAAAAAAAAAACCTGGAAGAGATTCAAGTGTCCTAAGAATGCAAGCTGGAATTGGAAGCAAGTGTGGAGAATAAGAGATATTATGAAATCTGGTTCTTGTGGTGATATATGGATTGATGATGCTAAAAGGCTACACAATAGCTAGTGGTTATAAGTGCAAAAGAAGCTTGGGCAGAATGACTTTTTATGTAATTTTCTTTGCTGGGGCTGTTTCTTGGGGTAAGGGGTGCTGGTGCTTTGTGTGTTGTATTGCAGTCTGCTTTGGACTGTGGTGATTATTGTTGATGATTGTTTCTATTATATTTTTTGTGGTTTTATTTTCTGTGATTAACAGTTGCCTGGTTCAGTTCTGATTTTCATGTTTTGACTTGTTGCATTCTCTTATATGGCAGACTCATAAGAAAGCTAAAGGGTTGTTTGGAGTTCCATTCATTCACTATGAAACTCTTGCGGAGATATACGCAAAAGACAAAGCTACCGGAGATGCAAGTGAGTCGTTTGTTGATGCTATAGAAGAAATGGGTCAAGAGATTGATAAGCAACCATTCAATGTCGAGAGTGATGAAGAAGATGATGTGAATTCTACTCATTCGGACACTTATTCTTCTACAAGTCAATCCGGAAAACGCCCCATGAAGATAGAGGATGATCATATAACTCCTTCAAAAATGGCAAAAGTGAAGGCTTCTACAATTCATTCTTCTGCAAGTGATTCTACTACTCAATCCGGAAAACCCTCTATAAAGGCGAAGGAGACTAAGGTGAAAGGAAAGAACAAGGTAAATTTGAAGAGTTTGTGTAGGAATGATGATGATGATTTGGTGGCCTCCCTCCATGATTGTTCCAACAATTTTGGGAAGATATTTGAAAATATCAATGTTAATCTCGGGACTATGGCTAGTGCATGGTCTAAAGCGGAAGAAAGGGAGCAAAGAATGGATGAAAAGGTGAACAAGGTATTGGACGAGGTGATGAAGTTAGATGGCATTTCTCCATCCGAAGCTTTAGAGGTTGCTACTATTCTCATGGCGGAAGAACATAAGCTTCGCATCTTCTATCAAGCACCATTTAATATGAAAAAACAATATGCAATTGATCTTCTTAAGAAGAAGTAGCAACTTGAGCAATGTCTTTGTTTTTTTGTTGAACATATGCAACTTGAGCAATATAGGTTATTTTATTATTAGTCAATGTTTGGATAATTAATGAGTGTCAACTTTGCTATATATATATATATATATATATATAATATATATATATATATATATATGCAATACAGGTTATTTTATTTTTTTTTTATCTTTTTTTTACCATAAAAAAATGTAGCATAGACAATATTATATTATTCATTCTTATTTTTCATTTCCGTTTGTTATACCAAACAAGAGGAAATGTAATGGTGATAATTGTTTTCGTTTCCTTTGATGTACCAAACAACTAGTAAGGGTAACACTTTTTGTTACCTTTTCCCCTCCTAATTTATTTCCATTCCGTTTCCTATACTAACTCCATACCAAACACCCCCTAATTGGCCACAATCTATAAAATAAATTGATGGTTCACTTTATGCTCATCCTAAAGCCATTACTATTGGAGAGTCCAAGACCCCTAACCCACCCCTTACTCCTTTCATCCTCTATTATATTTGCTCACCCCAAGGTTCTATGTTAGGTTAAGCAAAAGAAAAAAAACCACCCTTACTTTTTTCGTAAAAACAAGATGGGCAAAACAATATATTTGAAATTACAAGACAAAATAGGGAAAAATAGATTTGAAATTATAAACAAAACAGGGTGTATTCAACAAAGGGAATGGGAATCAACTACCATGAATCCCTTTGTTGATGTTTGATAGACAAATTCAATTATTCCCTTTACCCTTCCCATCACCCAATTTTCTACCTTCATCTCCCCCCCCCCCAAGTGAATCTCCTAAACTCTTCTTTAGCCAACTACCTTGACCAACTTCAAACTACCTTGACCACCCTTGAAAGCACCAACTGACCACCGACCACCGGAAACATCGCCCTAACACTCACCACTGCACAACCAACATCCTTCCCCACCAAAACCACCAAGGAAAAAAAACCCACGCACACCCAAAACCACGCTTCCCTACCGAAACCACCCAAAACCCACCTTCCTCGAAACCGCCCAAACCCACCCGGAAATAACTTTACACCCACCACGTTCGCCGCCTATTACCCTCAAAACCCACCATGAAAACCACCGAAAAAAACCTAACCATCTCAATAAACAACCCAAACCACCCCATAAACAACCCAAATAAACAACCCTTAAAAAAAAACTACCAGATCTACGAAAAAAAAAATTAAATAGAGAGAGAAGAAGGATGGCACGGGTACGGCAGGCGGTGGGTTTCGGAGTCCGACGATGCAAAAATAGAGGATGGAGGGGTGGCAGTGTTGGAGGCTTATGGACTAACAATTGCAAGGGTGGTGGCGGAGAGCAGTGGTGGTGGTGGAGAATGCTGGTGCTTCATATTTGATTCCCATTCTTTTTTAATAAAATAAACTAACACATTATAAATAGGGAAGTTGCTTTCCTTTCTCTCTCATTCCCTTTGCCCTCTACCAACCAAACGTCCCCTAAAATAGAAAGAAAAAAAAGGGAAAAAAAATTAATTCGTAGAAAAGTAGAGCCAAAAACTAATGACTACAGTCAACTTAAGTTCTGATTATTGCGGAGCTGGCATTGTTCACGGTGTATAAACAAACTATCAAAGGCCTTTGTCATGTCTGAAGTACTATTTAGTTCAAGAGAAATTATAACCCTCCTATTAAATTTGAGCTCAAGAATGATTGATATTTAATTAAGGTTGGATAGAACATTCAATTTATCTTTCAAATTTTTATTTTCGTAATAAATAAAAAACAAATCGATTCGAGGAGGATTTGAGCATTTTTTTGACAAGACACAAGACTTAATGGTATTAGCTATACAGTCCAAGTGTCAAAGGGAAAACAGAACATACTTATAGTACACAATTCAGATGTGCAGAGGTTTAAGGGTGTAATCACAACCAAAAAGGGGGGGGGGGGGGGGGAGGGGACGCCAAAACACTGCAAACTTGCACCATGATTAACTCATGCTAGTTAAGAATTTGAGCAGCTGATAAATAAATAAATAAATAAATAAAAGACATTTAAATAAAGATTAAGGAGCTCTGTTCTGCTCTACCTCTAACAATTTTTGCATTTCTGTTGTGGTGGAGTTTTCCTCGTCGCTTCTTGCTGCTTTCTTGAACCATGTGTTTGCATAACATAAGATGGTGGGAACAAGTAGCCACCCTTGTCATACCTGGACAATAATAATATAGAAGATGCCAATTATAGTATTCAAATATAATCAATGGTATTATTGGGAAAACAGTACAACACATCCTAAGTTTTATACATTTAGCTAATTCAGGATTAATTGACAACAGATCATGTCAGAGTATATAAAATATACAATACTAAAATACTTTCTGTCCTTCTGATCATATTCTAAGTCTCATAGGGTTTTTTTTTTTACATTATACAATTTATAGTCCGTCCAACTTCCACATTTGCACTAAACTTGGAGTAATTTAGAGTAAGATCTACAAAATGGTAGAAAAGGGGCATAGTTTCCACAGTTCTATGTGAAAGAAAATTAATCAAGGATTACTGAAAACATTATTATTAAATAAATTATTAAAAAAAACAAGAAGATAAAAGACAATTCTACAAAAAAAGAAAAGAAGATAGAAGATAAGTATACCCTTTCCAATTCTTTGGAGGTTCCAACATTGGGATATAGGGAATAATCATGTATCGAGCCTGCTAAAAAAAGCAGTAAAAGTTTGTTAGGTTATGTAAACAACTCTAGAATCACTTAATGATTTAATACAACATAACGTAAATAGTTATTGTAAGTGCATTTAGCTTTAGTAATTTAGTGCAATATTTCTTGGGGAACAGTTCACATGCAAATAAGAATTGCGTATATTTTATAGATGTCAGATAACAATGAACGAGAAGCTTACAAACCTATCAATCCCTTTTAAAACAAGCGAGTCACATTCTATAACTCCATATCTTTTCACCACTTGCTGTCTTCACAAAGTAAAAATAAAAAGTCAAAGAGTGAGAAGTTACTGAGATAATTTAACTAAACCACTATCTATCTTCAAGAAAGCCTCACCACAATGACACGATGTCACTTATGATGTCTAATGTACATTTTTCCTTCAAATTGTTAAGTTATTCATTGGCCATTAAGAATTATGTATGTAAGGGTAAAGAAGTACTTAATTCAACATTCCTAAATTTCAACCTATGGAAGTAAATAATCTCCACTATCAAAATACAACCACAACAGTTCTGAATTTCTCCTTTTTTCGTAACTTTTAACACCTTCACATAGTTTTTCAAGAACATATTTTCACCAATTCAAATTCTTAATTTGCCTAACATCATCAAGTGCCTTAGCAATCCTAAGGTCAGCGGTTCTGTTAGAAGTAGGAGCTAAAAATGTGGATACTACATGCATAACAAAGAGTTGCAAACTCGATCATCTCCACCTTGACCTAAAGTAGGTATCCTTTCCAAAAATTAAGTGGAATTTGGTCATTTTCATATGTCAACCAAAAATTCAACCTCCAATTATGTATGAAAACAAAGTCGGGGTATCTCCTCAACATTTTTGGGGTTCAAAGGAAGGAAAAACACATCATACTCAGTCACCACAAACTCCTTACTATTATCAATTGAAAACATGCAGCTACCACAGTCAAAACAATCAATTAGCCACCTGTACATACTAGTAGGATTCCTTTTCAACTTAAATGATAACAACCCTCCAAAACCAATTTCATTGACAGAAATTTTTTGATCATCAGTAAACTTAGAAATCATGTCAACCAAATTCAAAGGCCTACATTTAGTTTTAAATGGCCGCAATATGCAAAATAGAAATAATAATGCATAGTGTAAGGAGGGTGATCCCATCGTAAGGGGGTCCTTCCTTAGATGCCCATGGCCATTTAAAAGCCTAGGACTTTACACTTGTTAGGGTGTATTAGGATTTGAATTCCTAACTGTTTGGGAGACCTTGAATTAGAAATGATACTCTCATCACGCTTTTTGTAAGAAACAAGTAGGAGTCGCCAATGAGTTTTACGAAAACTCATAAACCTCGTTCATGCCTTTCTCCCAAGTAGAGTTCAAGGGATAATTAGCACGAATCATAAGTTTACCCATGCCCAAATTGGTCTACATAAACCAGAAATGAGTTCGGGAGCGAGGATACTAAGATAACGTTCCCTTTAGAGGGCAATTGCTATCTTAGCCCTAGTACGGCCTCTACTAGCTCTTACTTTTTCTCAATTTCATTACCAAACAATATATGCAACGTGATACCTAAAGACTAAGTTAGTTGATTTTATTTACAAGCATTAATCACATAGGAATTACATTGCAAAAGTCGTTATTCTTAATTAATAATATTCGTGAAAGAACAATAAATAAACAAGATTCGCCCTGTCTTAAGTGATAAAACAACAATTAATTATTCCAATTCTAGTCTTGATTAACGAAAGAATACTATGTGAATTAATTAATTAAAAGTTTGTTTAACGTGATCAAACAACACTAGTTAATCAATTAAATTTATTTAAACAATAAAAGAAAAGTGATTTATCTAAGTGCTCAGGAAACTAACCGTTCTTCTTTTATGTTTGATCTCCGTTTAATGTGTTTATGGACTTTCTTTCTTCTTCTTACCTCCAAGGACTTCAATGGATTCAATTAGGGTTGAAAAGTATTTGGAAAGATAGAAGAAAAAGTAGTATGATAGTAAGAGAAGTTAAGAGATTAGGGTTTTGAGAATACTAAGGTTTTAATTCTGAATTTTCCAGTCCCTGTAATGCTGAACGAAGACCCCTATTTATAGGCGTATGGATCTAGGTTTAGGGTTTTAGAGCTGCACCGTCAGGTGGCGTCCGCAACTCTCTAAGTCGCGTTGGATGTCGTGCGCATCTCAATGACACGCAAGGCGCGCGCATCTGATTGAGTTGCGCTAGTTTGCGGTTTGCCTTATACAAAAACGCGTTTTTAAAACTTCCATAACTTTTGATTGCGAAGTTCGATTAAGGCGTGTGAGATGTCATTGGAAATCTCTGAATGTCTAATTTCTAATTCTGTTAGATTTATGTGAAAATATATTATGGATCAAAAGTT